GCTAGGTAGATTGTTCCAGAGTTTGGGCGCTAAATAGGAACAGGATCTGCCACCCGCAGTTGATTTTGATATTCTAGGTATTATCAAATGGCCAGAGTTTTGAGATTGCAGCGGCGGACGTGAAGGACTATAATGCGATATGAGCTAGCTCAAGTACTGAGGAGCTAAACCATTCAGGGCTTTATAAGTAATTAGCTAGATTTTAAAATGTATTCGTTGTTCAATAGGGTTTTATATCAACTATGCGTTCCGTTAGTTTTGCAAATTTGTAGGTTTTTATCAGGCCGCAAAGAAATATAGAGCTGAGTATCATCAGCATAACAGTGAAAGCTAACACCATGTTTCTTGATGATATCTCCCAAGGGTAACATGCAAAGTGAGAAAAGCAATGGTCCTAGTACTGAGCCTTGTGGCACTCCATACTGTACTTGTGAATTATATGATATCTCGTCATTTACTGCTACGAATTGATGGCGGTCAGATAAGTAAGATTTGAACCATGACAATGCAATTCCACTAATGCCAACATAATTTTGTAGTCTACTCAAAAGGATGTTGTGGTCGATAGTGTCAAAAGCAGCACTAAGATCCAGTAGCACTAATAGAGAAATTCAACCACGATCGAATGATAAGAGCAGGTGTGTGAGAGTGTGTGTGTGTGTGTGTGTGTGTGTGTGTGGTATCAGAGGTAATGATATGCAGTATGTGTTGTCGTCATCAGACTTTCTCTCTCTCTCGTCTCAGATCCAGATTCAGTATTATTCCACCGGAGGACAGTATCCGAATTCAGGCCAGCAGTATCGCTCCATCTCTCACCAGGTGTCGTATCCCGCACAGCGCTCTCAGCCGCTGCCCCCGCCGGCGCAGCCCTCCGGTCAGTGTGACATCACTTCCTGTTCCTCTGCTTCTAGACAGCATCATATTATCCTCCCTGTAATACAAGCTCGCGTGCTTTTGGAGCAGAACTCATCAGATGAGATGCCCAAGTCCATCTCTGCCACATAAGAAAAAAATAATGTGAAAAGAAGTCAAAAATATGACAAAATGTCATAATTATAAGAGAAAAGGTCGTCAAAGGTCGTTGACAGTCAAAATTTCTACTTTTTTAAAGTCACGATTATGAGAAAAAACTGAAGAGACTGAAAAGTCAGAATTATGACAGTCAAAATTAAAAAGTTAAATATAAAATATGAATAAAATTAATAAAATAGAAATTATTAAATGATTAAAAAGTCATTATGGGGAAAAGGCAAAATCATGACAGTGAATCATAATTATGGAAAAAGTCAAAATTATGACAAAATAAAAATTATAACATTTAACTATAAAATGAAAAATGAAAAATCATAATTATAAGATAGTCATTATGGGGAAAAGTCATAATTGTGAGTCTAAAATGTAATGATTATGAAATATAATGTCATAATTAAAAGTATGGGTGTACGATATGACGATTTTTGATTGTGGATGATTAAAATATCTCCACGATCTGCTTTATCGTAAATATCATAGTATCGCGCTACAGCACACATTCATTCAGTTGCAGTTCTGGCGCCTCCGTCTCGATATACTGTACAACGCCACATACATTCACATCAAATGTTACTCAGCAGTAGAGTCACACTCACGGGACACTGCACTTACTCACAATCACAAAAGTACGTTATTTGCATGTGCTTTAAAGTCTTGCCGGTTAAACATTTCATTCGAACATTTTGTTCTGACATGCGCTTTTTCTGAGCGCGTACACACTAAAAATCCTGTCAAATAGCACCTGATTACTGGACTAAGTTATCTTTTTCGCGTCTGACTGCGCTAATACAGTCAAAAACACATGAGATTTACATATAAACACAGTTGGTTATGTCTGAAGTGAAAGTAAACAGTTGAGAGAAGAACTGATGCGTGCTGTATATTAAATACGTGTCTTAAAGTGACAGCAGCCTAATAGTACTAATGCTGCCGCTTGTCGTTAAAGGGAGAGTTCACCCAAAAATTTAAATTCTGTCATTATTTACTCACTCTCATGTTGTCCCAAACCTGTATTAATTTCTGTCTTGTGCTGAACACAAAAGAAGATATTTTGAAGAATGTGGGTACAAACAGCTGCTGGTCCCCATTGACTTTGATAGTAGGAAAAAAAAATACTATGGAAGTCACTGGAGACCAGCAGCTGTTTGTAGCCACATTCTTCAAAATAACTTTAATGTTCAACAGAAGAAAGAAACTCATTCAGGTTTTAAACAGCTTGAGAGTGAGTAAATGATGACAGAGTTTTCATTTTTGGGTGAACTATCCCTTTTAATGTTAATAAAACAACAAAACACAGAGAAAAATCACTCACTGCTCTTGACTGAAGAACTTTAATACAGTTGCTTTAATAAGAATCAATGTATAATTTATACAGTGAAGTGTATATAGTGTTTATTTTTATATTTGTTCATTCAGTTTCTTGAATGCTGCTGATAAATACACCGACTGTACCTGTTTGTTTTATTTGTATATTATGTGTAATTACAGATTTTTTTTCTTCGCCCACTTTGGCCTAAATATATTTTTTTATGTTATATTTTGTTACCTTGTAAGGCTTTGTTTTTAAAGTAGGGAAATTAGTTTGGCTGTGCTGCTCAGACAACCTACAAAATAATAAAACCAACATGATAAAGAATCGTGATAAAATCCCATGAAAAATATCGTGATATGATATTTTTGCCATATCGCCTACCCCTAATTAAAAGATACAAAGTCAAAATTTACATAAGTCATAATGAGATAAGATGAAATTATGACTTAAGTCATAATTATGAAAAGTCAAAATTGACAAATCAAAATAAAACGTCAACATTTAAATAAATGATAAAATATAATATTTTAATGTTTAATAATTGTAAGAATATTTTAATAATTATGAATTATAACATGATGTTTTACATATAAAATATTAATGGAATATTAAAATTATGAAATTATAAAGTTATAATTATGAGATAAGTCAAAATTACGACATAAGTTATTTTTTGTCTTACCTTTGACTTCACTTTGAATTTGAATTTCACTTTGACCTGTGAAATTACGTCATTATTTTGATTTATCAAAGCATGATTTTTCTTTCTCCTGTGGAGGAAATGTGTTTCCGTGCCTCTGTCTCTACTGACTCCTGTCATTTTTATGCTCTGTTATATTGATGTCTCATATTAAACTGACTATTAAAGCTCTGAACGGCTCCCTGACGATGAGCGGTTGAAGTTTGATGTGCTTTTGTCTTGCGTGATCAGCTCCTCTCCAGCCCATGATGACTAATCAGCAGCCTGCGTATCAGAGCATGATGGGAGTCCAGCAGCCTCAGAGCGCCAGTATGATGAACACGCAGCGCACGGCCATGAACGGACAGATGCCGGGCATGATGGTCCAGTACCCACCCATGCCCTCCTATCAGGTGTGTGTGTGTGTGTGTGAGTGAGAGTGTGCAAGTGTGAGTGAGTGAGTGTGTGTGTGAGTGAGTGAGAATGTGAGTGAGAGAGTGTGTGTGTGTGTGAGTGTGATTGAGAAGTGTATGTGTGTGTGAGGGAGTGAGTGAGTGTGCAAGTGTGTGAGTGAGTGAGCGAGTGAAAGAATGAGCGAGTGAGAGTGTGTTTGTGTGTCTCTCTCTCTCTCTCTCTAACCGCTCCTCCTGTGCTGCAGGTGCCTGTAGCTAATGAGAGTCAGTCTGTGGTGCAGCAGCAGTACCAGCAGCCCGTCATGGTTCCCGCCAGTCAGTCTGTGCAGGGAGCCATGCCGACCGCGGCACCCATGCCTGTCTACTACAGCGTACTGACGCCCACACAACAGAACAGCACAAGGTACACACATGCTAACACCTCAGCACGCACGGCACGTGTCGATAATGTCAGATGTCTGGAAAAATTGTGCAGTTTTACTCCTGTATGCAACTGAGTAGCAACTCTAACTTGACACAGAAACTTAATGAACAAAACAAAATTATGAGTATGGGTTCCTCGGATATAAAATATGATTTTTTTTGTTTATTTATTTATGTGTTTATGTATTTTTATTTATATTATTATTATTATTTATTTTTTTAAACACATTTTTTTCTATGTTTATGCCATATTTTTTATTGCGTAGTATGTCCTTTCAGTTGCATTAAATTAAAGTGTTTTTGTTTGTGTTGTTAGTTATACTTGGAATAAATGTAACTTTAATGCTGTATTATTGTTTTTGTGCTAATTCTGCTCTGATTATTTAAATAAATGATTTGATCTATTATTAGTAATATGATTAGAAATATCTCCCGAGTAGCTTCAATAGCTGGGTTTCCATCCTTTTTTTTTTTTCTTTTTGTGAATTTTGAGATGTTGCATTTTAAAAACTCTGAATGGAAATGCCAAGATGCACATAAAATCTCAAAATGCATATTAACTTATGTTTTATTTGATGAGAAAACAATGGAGAAACATATAGTGACAAGTGTTTTTGTTTGTTTTATTAATTATATTTAGTGTAAATTTACATTTTGATGCTGTATTGTCGTTTTTTGTGCTAAATTCCTCTAATTATTTAAATAAGTGATTTAATCTGTTATTAGTAATATAATTAGAAATATCTCCTAAATAGCTTCAATAGCTATATTTCCATCCATGTATTGCTTTGCATATTTTGGGATAAAAATGCTGGATGGAAACGCCAAGATGTGCATAAAAAACTTGGGCTCTTAATTGAGGAGCATAATTGTTTTATTCAATAAGAAAATGTGCATTAACTGCAATGCAGAAACATATAGAGTGATATAGAGTTCTTGTTTGTTTTATTAGTTTTATTCAGTATAAAATTACGTTCTGATGTTGTATTGTCATTTTCGTGCTAAGTTCTGCTTAACCGTGTGTGTGTGTGTGTGTGCTTGTTTCAGTCCATCTGTTGGTTACCTGCAGCCGCCCAGTTCAGATCAGTACCAGATGACCCAGTCTGCCTCGCCCTGCAGCCCACAGCCAATGCAACAGCAGTATTCAGGTACACCGCAGATACAGATACAGCCACACCACAACTGAAATTAAGATAAAACCAGTATCATTCTCATTAATTGAAATAAAGCTTAAAATAAAATACAAGTATTAGATGAAAAACATACTCAAAAACAGTAATAGAAAATGTAAGTGGAAGTTGAAGTAAAACTAAATAAAAATAAATTCAAGCTAAACAGAGTATAAAAATATAACTATAAAAATATAAATAAATAAATATAAGAAAAATATTTAAAAAATAGTTTTTTGAAATATATAAAAAAGCACAACTTAAAAATGACATGCACATAAAGTTTAACTTTAAATTAAATTGAAACCTTAAACTTTAAACTGCAGTATCAGCCCAATAAACCTGAGCAGTAGGTTGCATTAGTATCATCTCTCTCAGTCTAGATTACTTTGTATTGGGAGTGACTGGCCCGTTGATGTGGTTGTGTTGTAGGGGTTCCTCCTCCTGGTCCTAGTGTCATGGTAATGCAGCTCAGTGTCCCTAACGGACCGCAGCCGACCCAGAATCCTCCGCTGGTGCAGTGGAACCCCTGCAAGTACTACAGCATGGAGCAGAGACCCAGCAACCCCGAGCCGCAGGTACGAGCACATGTGCTATATTTGGCTACCATTGTAAATGCATGTGATCCATAATGGAGACTCAGACTCATCATCGTGTGTGTCTGTGTGCGTGTCTGTGTGCGTGTCGCGTGTGTGTGTCTGTATGTGTCTGTGTGTGTGTGTGTGTGAGTGTGTGTCTGTGTGTGAGTGTGTGTGTGTGTGTGTGTGTATCTGTGTATGTGTGTGTCTGTATGTGCGTGTGTGTGCGTGTGTCTGTGTGTGTCTGTGTGTGTGTGTGACATATTTTGTGTATATATATATATATATATATATTTTTTTTTATTATGTTTCTTATCTCCTTTAAAAACAAAGATACTGTTCAAATGTATTACAATAAACAAATATATTTTTAAATGTATTATTTCCATGCATATATGTGACACTGGACCACAAAACCAGTCATAAGGGTCAATATTTTGACATTGAAATTTATAGTTAGGGTTAATAACCCTGGATCAGACTCTCTGTAATACCTGTCGAATTACTGGCTGTTATGTGTAAACATTAATAATTATTATAAATGAGAAACCAATAGCTGTACAAAAACGGGCCCTCAAAATGGTGAAGAGGAAAAATAGCTCAACGAGCAAAAACTGACTAAATCCTCAAACAGTTCCTGAAACGAGGATTACTTCCTGCAGTGGGAAAGAGTCATTAACTGATCAGTCAAAACACAGCAGACAACCAAATCCCATCAGAGCAGACAGTGAGCATTCATCGCATCTGACGTGGATTGATTACGAACCTGACTCACATTGTCCGGCGAGTGTCTGTCCGCAGCTGCGTCCAGCTGATCGCCTGCTTTAACCTTCCTCTTCTTCTTTGGTCCAGCACTTCCTGTGGATGGGGTTGTCTTCTGTTGAAACTCCTTCAGCTGCAGGACACAAGAGCAGAAATGTTTGATATTAAATATATCATATTACAGCTACAGTCAGTCACGTATGTGTGCAGATACACTGAGAAAAAAAATGGTGTAGTAGGATTAAGTTTGAACCCATTTGTGACCCTGGAGCACAAAACCAGTCATGAGGGTCAATTTTTTGAAATTGAGATTTATACACGATCTGAAAGCTGAATAAATAAGCTTTACATTGATGTATGGTTTGTTAGGATAGGACAATATTTGGCTGAGATACAACTATTTGAAAATCTGGAATCTGAGGGTGCAAAAAAATCTAAATATTGAGAAAATCATCTTTAAAGTTGTCCAAATGAAGTTCTGCATATTACTAATCAAAAATTAAGTTTTTATATATTTATGGTAGGAAATTTACAACATATCTTCATGGAACATGATACTTACTTAATATCCTAATGATTTTGGGCATAAAAGAAAAATGGATAATTTTGATCCATACAATGTATTGTTGGTTATTGCTACAAATATACCCCAGCGACTTAAGACTGCTTTTGTGCTGCAGGCTCACATTTGTGTCTGTCTGTGTGTATATCATTTATCATTTTTTTTACTAATTAGAATATTAATATTTTTATACAATATTATTTAAATAGTATTGTTAATATAATTTTTTTGTAATATTGTTAATATTATTAAAAAATATATTTTCATATATAATTGGATTTTCTTATCTCTTTTATCTCTTCATTAATAGTATTTATACTGAATTTTGTCTGGTGTGAACTGTACTGCTTGAAACAAATAAAGTTACCATGTTTAGTTATGTGGAGTGAGTTTTTGGACCATTGACATTTGACTGTGGGCGGAGCTACGTGACGACCAATAGGAGGCCTTGCTGCTTGTTTTGAGTGCAGCGGTTTGAGATTCACCTGGACGGGATTCCCTGCTGGATTGTTTTCCTGGTTTTATTGTGATAAAATACCAGCTATATCTAACAAATATAGTCTATAGTCTTCAAACACACTCAGGACATTATGATGAGCTCTGGACCCACGGTGACCCTGCCTGTGTATGGTCACCGTGATCCGCTGAGAGAGAGTGTGTGTGTGTGTGTGTGTGTCAGCAGATGGACGCTACTCTTTACTGGGGCAGCGCAGTACAGTCAGTCTGTGTCCTCCCATCATGCACAACCACAACCAGTCCTCCTACAGCTCCCATCAGGTACAGCTCTCTCTGTGTGAGTGAGTGAGTGAGTGAGTGAGTGAGTGAGTGAGTGAGTGA